GTAAGGGATCATCTTATTTACTACCGTCGTCCTAAGTAAACAAGATGCATAAACATGATAAACATCACATGCAATCAAATAGTGACATGATATGGCCAATATCATTTTGCTCCTTTTGATCTTCATCTTCGGGGCTCCATGATCATCATCGTCACCGGCATGACACCATGATCTCCATCATCATGATCTCCATCATCGTGTCTTCATGAAGTTGTCACGCCAACGACTACTTCTACTTCTATGACTAACGCGTTTAGCAATAAAGTAAAGTAGTTTACATGACGTTCTTCAATGACACGCAGGTCATACAAAAATAAAGACAACTCCTATGGCTCCTGCCGGTTGTCATACTCATCGACATGCAAGTCGTGAATCCTATTACAAGAACATGATCAATATCATACATCACATATATCATTCATCACATCCTTTTGGCCATATCACATCACATAGCATACCCTGCAAAAACAAGTTAGACGTCCTCTAATTGTTGTTTGCATGTTTTACGTGGCTGCTATGGGTTTCTAGCAAGAATGTTTCTTACCTACGCAAGACCACAACGTGATATGCCAATTGCTATTTACCCTTCATAAGGACCCTTTTCATCGAATCCGTTCCGACTAAAGTGGGAGAGACTGGCACCCGCTAGCCACCTTATGCACCAAGTGCATGTCAATCGGTGGAACCTGTCTCACGTAAGAGTACGTGTAAGGTCGGTCCAGGCCGCTTCATCCCACAATACCGTCGAAACAAGATTGGACTAGTAACGGTAAGCATATTGAACAACATCAATGCCCACAACTACTTTGTGTTCTACTCGTGCAAAGAAACTACGCAATAGACCTAGCTCATGATGCCACTGTTGGGGAACGTAGCAGAAATTCAAAAATTTTCCTACGTAACACCAAGATCTATCTATGGAGAGACCAGCAACGAGTAGAAAGAGAGTGCATCTACATACCCTTGTAGATCGCTAAGCGGAAGCGTTCAAGTGAACGGGGTTGATGGAGTCGTACTCGTCGTGATTCAGATCACCGATGATCAAGTGCCGAACGGACGGCACCTCCGCGTTCAACACACGTACAGCCCGGTGACGTCTCCCACGCCTTGATCCAGCAAGGAGAGAGGGAGAGGTTGAGGAAGACTCCATCCAGCAGCAGCACAACGGCGTGGTGGTGATGGAGGAGCGTGGCAATCCTGCAGGGCTTCGCCAAGCACCTACGGGAGAGGAGGAGGTGTCACGGGAGGGAGGGAGGCGCCAAAGGCTCAGGTGTGGATGCCCTCCCTCCCCTCCACTATATATAGGGGCAGGGGAGAAGGGGGAGGCGCAGGCTTGCCCCCTACTCCAAGAAAGGGGTGCGGCTAAGGAGGGGGGAGGAGTCCATCCTCCCCAAGGCACCTCGGAGGTGCCTTCCCCCTTTAGGACTCTCCCCTTTTTCCTTTATCTTGGCGCATGGGCCTCTAGGGGCTGGTGCCCTTGGCCCATGTAGGCCAAGGCGCACCCCCTACATCCCATGTGGCCCCTCGGGGCAGGTGGCCCCACCCGGTGGGCCCCCGGGACCCTTCCGGTGGTCCCGGTACAATACCGATGACCCCGAAACTTGTCCCGATGGCCGAAACAGGACTTCCTATATATAAATCTTTACCTCCGGACCATTCCGGAACTCCTCGTGACGTCCGGGATCTCATCCGGGACTCCGAACAACATTCGGTAACCACATACAAGCTTCCTTTATAACCCTAGCGTCATCGAACCTTAAGTGTGTAGACCCTACGGGTTCGGGAGACATGCAGACATGACCGAGACGTTCTCCGGTCAATAACCAACAGCGGGATCTGGATACCCATGTTGGCTCCCACATGTTCCACGATGATCTCATCGGATGAACCACGATGTCAAGGACTCAATCGATCCCGTATACAATTCCCTTTGTCTAGCGGTATTTTACTTGCCCGAGATTCGATCGTCGGTATACCGATACCTTGTTCAACCTCGTTACCGGCAAGTCACTTTACTCATTCCGTAACACATCATCCCGTGATCAACTCCTTGGTCACATTGCGCATATGATGATGTCCTACCGAGTGGGCCCAGAGATACCTCTCCGTTTACACGGAGTGACAAATCCCAGTCTCGATCCGCATAAAACAATAGATACTTTCGGAGATACCTGTAGTGTACCTTTATAGTCACCCAGTTACGTTGTGACGTTTGATACACCCAAGGCACTCCTACGGTATCCAGGAGTTACACGATCTCATGGTCAAAGGAAGAGATACTTGACATTGGCAAAGCTCTAGCAAACGAACTACACGATCTTTGTGCTAAGCTTAGGATTGGGTCTTGTCCATCACATCATTCTCCTAATGATGTGATCCCGTTATCAACGACATCCAATGTCCATAGCCAGGAAACCATGACTATCTGTTGATCACAACGAGCTAGTCAACTAGAGGCTCACTAGGGACATATTGTGGTCTATGTATTCACACGTGTATTACGATTTCCAGATAATACAGTTATAGCATGAATAAAAGACAATTATCATGAACAAGGAAATATAATAATAATACTTTTATTATTGCCTCTAGGGCATATTTCCAACAGTTTCATCAATACCATTTGGCATTCTTGCTTATCAGTTTGATTGACCTCTATTTCTTGTAAAATGGTTGTGGCAGGAACAAGGGAATGATTTCTGTGGATACTACGTTTGCGAGTCCATCTGCCACACGACCTCTGAGCGGGGCTACACTGACGAACAATATGAAGTACGTAAATAACAACATTCACAATTTTATTTTATTACCATCATTTGTGTTGAGTTTCATTCATTCATATATATATATGTATTGACCCCCTTCTTCAAATTAGATGTTTCGGAAGCGGGATGAACTCCTAGCACCAGCTCGCATGCGAGCAATTCAAGAGGAATTGGCGGCATTCTTTCTTGACCACGTGATCGCTGAAGACGGAGAATACTATGTGGACCATGAGTCCGTATGATTACATTTGTAAGAGATAATTATTGTATATATGTAGCCGATAGTGTCGGATAGATATACGAGAACTTGTTGTTCGACCAATCTCTCGGAGAAGGAGAGGTGGTCGATATCACTTCTCTCTGTATGCATATATGTTCATGACGATCTTCTGTTTCCTTCGTTTGCTTACTAGCTAGCTAGCGTGTCTAGTCCTCTTTATATGTATGTATAGTACGTAGCGTCGACCAAGCACGGACATAAGAGAGGACATTTTTCTCTATTAATTATAGCTAGCTAACACAATATATGAAACACCTAAATTAACCCCCCAAAACCCCCAAACCCCCCCCCCTTTCAAAAAAAAACAAAACCCCCAGCCACAGAAATGCTGATGCGTGGATGCCTATTGGTCCCGGTTGGTGTCACCAACCGGGACCAAAGGGTCTCCTGCCTGGGCTCCGCGCACAGGCCACGTGGAGGCCCATCAGTCCCGGTTCTGGATTGAACCGGGACTAAAGAGACAGGGCATTAGTACCGACCCTTTAGTCCCGGTTCAGGAACCGGGACAAAAGGCCCTTACGAACCGGGACAACATGCCCTTTTTCTACCAGTGCAACCTGATAATTCTCCTCTTCCTAAGCAAGGCAATACTCTCAAATCAGACCTTCTCATTAATGGTGCTAAAGTGTTTTCTAATGCTGCTTTCAGAACTTCTAGAGTTCCAGGATTTTTGCAAGGTCAATTGCGCACAGGTGTGGGAGTTTACTTTTGTCTTCCTTCTTCTAATAGGGAAATAAATATTCAGGCTCAAGCTTCAGGCCCTCCGACGGACACTCCTCTTCAAGCTGAAGCAATTGCTCTTGCTTGTGCAGCTCAATTGGAGGCTTGCCTTAACATTCAAACTCCTACTTTTTTAACTGATTCTCTTTCTCTTGCCACTGTTGCTGCTGCCAGGAATATTGCTCACTCTTCCACTCCTTGGAATATTAGAAAAGAAGTGGCTTCTTTTGTAAACTCTACTTCTAATCTTAATCCCCAAGTTTTTCATATTTCTAGGAATTTGAATGGGGTGGCTCACAATTTAGCTCATCAAGTTTTTCAAATGGCTGGAGGACCTACACTCAATTGCTCTTCTCACTCTCATGTCACTGAATCATATCCTGTAGCTGCCTCTCTTGTTGATTTTAATTTTGCAGGAATTCAGCTTCATAAGGTGTATTGCTTTTAGGAGAAAGTTGATAGCTCTGGGAAGTTCCTCATCTCAACATGATCTGATGGTCTATGCTCGGTTGTTGGAAAGAAGGAGATTGCTGTCAAAGCTGGAATTTTCTTTTCCCCTTCTCTTCCTTTGTTTCTTAGGACATGCTGTTCTTCAGCAAGGATCTTGTTCCTTGCTCTCTCATATGTCTTTATTCAGCTCTTCTTTCTTTACATCTGCAGTTCTTCTTTCTCTTTATTCTAGCAGATGGTGTAATCTTGACTGTAAAATGTTCTGTGAGCTGAATATATTGGTACCTTTGGGTGCCTTTCTCTGTTCAAAAAAAAAAGGTCGGCTTGGCTCTGCTCCCTATGTTGTCGGAAAACAAAAAATGTGACACTTTAGCATGCTACGGATTCCACCTACGGACTCCTCTTTATTGAGAACCACTCCTTGTATTTATTCATTCAAGTGGAACATCTCTGATTGAGCAGGGTCAATCAGGAAATCAGGGATGCCTAGCACATTGGTGAGCCACAAAATTGGCCTCCCGACGCACAAAGACTAGATCAAATCCCTCAGAGGAGGAGAGATAAGAGTCCATCTCTCTACAAACTTGGCCTTCGATAGACCTGTTGTTTCCTAGCGTCCATATTGTGCAAATGGACGGAAAATCCGATTCCACGATCACATGTGATAACGATCTACCATAGCAAGTTTCATAGCATCACGACAAGTAATTGCAATGCCGCAGGGTATATATCACCACAGTACAATTTCTACACACGCTTCACCATATTGCAGAGGTCAATGAGGATCAGAAAGCCTTCTTACATTTGTACCTCATAGCACATAATACAAAGACTACTATATTCAAAAAACTCAGCCCAGCCATCATCAGGTAGAATCTATCCAAATGCCCTTCATTCAAGTTATCAGGTATCCACCCTGGGCTGCCTCCTCTGGCTGTGAATACTGGCACAAGGGAAAGGATAAATGAACTAAGGTAATTTCCAACCGACATGTTAACAAGCGAGAATGCCATACATAAGCTTTGCATGCCATCTGGAGATTCATCATAGAAAACCTCAGTTAGCCCAATATTGGAGAACACCAAGGCGACGCCTAGCAGGAAGTACTGGGGTCCTTGCCACACGATGCTCATCGGAACAGCCACCTTGCGGTGCACCAAACCTTCGGCCTGTGCAATCTGTAGCCGGTTACCCTCCACCAATGCTGCTGACACCATTGAGAACATCGAGAAACATAAACCAATCCCTATTCGCTGTGGTGACGTAATGCCATTCGCTCTGCCAGTAAATTTTCTAATTACTGGAACAATGAGTCTCTCATAAATTGGAACCAGTACAATGACAGTAATTGTATCTACACACTGGAAGGATGCAGCAGGTATTTCGAAAGACCCGATGTGTTTATCCATTGCCATCCCTTGCTCTACAAATGTTGAAGACATCTGTTCCTGAACTGCAGCAAACAATACCATTGCCGACCAAATTGGAAACATCCTGATCAGAATCTTTAACTCCTCTACCTGAGTGACAGTGCAAATCTTCCATTTATTATGTTGGCCAGGAGATTCACAGTCAGGTAATGTCACAATTGCAGCTTTATCAAAGAACCTGAATGGGAAAGAAAAATGTGACCACTTCACTAATTATAGAAATCTACTTGATCAGACTGTGTTTCAACTTCCCTTAACACTGAAATAGAAGAGAAAAATAATTTTTGTACGAATTTCAGCACATCCATTTGTACCACAATAGAAGTTCCACAAAAGTGTGAATTTTTTTCCTTTTAGGGATTCGAATATAAGTTAAAATGTAGCTTATAATACCACGTTACTAGCAAATAAACTAATCAAGTATACTTGAATGGAAATTCAAAATAGAATGAATGCATAAATTATAAACTTAAGAGTCAAAATCACAGCAGAGTATTACTCAAGTCCAGTTGTATGCTCCAATTTCCGGCTGCCTTCGTTTGCCGAGCCTTGCCCCATAAACTCATAAAGAGCCGAGGAATCACATGGCAAAACTTTATCAAAGTTCCGAGTAGCTGCAATGACAACCTGGCATAGTCTTGTCAGAGGGCTTCCTCCAGGCTTCTGAAATCTATACATGATGGAGCCTAAGAAAAAAATACATACACCTAAAGTCACAAACAGTGTTGAAATTGTAAAACCCCAGAGCCTTCATGTTCTTGAACCCAGACAATAACAGTCCCAGCAATCAATGAACCAGCATTGATTGCAAAATAATGCCAATTGAAGAAGGAGCTCTTTTTGGTTTTCTCCACATAATCGGTGTCATCAAATTGATCGGCTCCAAAAGACGTGACACAAGGGCGCTGTGCACCATACCCTAAACCCACCATGTACAACCCAACCAAGAATATGGTGTACTGAGAAGAGACTAGATGTACCCAAACAGTCCAAGCGTGAGGACCGGCTGAGATTAATTGAAGTGCTGCTGATAGAAGCAACATTATCATTCCCTAAACAACAGAATGAAAAAAAAAAGATAAGCAAACATGTTAAGAAAACTGAACTCAGATGTTGAATGCACATGTTAAGGTAAATAATGATCTTTTGATCTCTTGCAATCAGGCATATAGGTTGGTTGCTAGATTTGTTGGGCTGTTTAGTTTTTTATAGTTTCTCTTTTGTTTTGTTTTGGTAAGTGCCACCTTTATGGCTATGTTTTCGCAGGTGTTAGAGCTTTACGCAATTTTTATTTCTTCTTCCAATACAAAATGACACACAGTTAGATGCATGTTCGAGATAAAATAAAGTGCTGAATGCGCATATCATATCAGAACTATATATGCATAAGTGTCTTCAGAAAGGTGCCACAGCACCCGGGAGTCTCGGCACCCTCTAATCTTATCCGTCCAGCTATATTACGATTCGTGCAAGCCACTGTACAGATGCAAACGTTTTGCAGGATCAGCTTGATTAGTCAGGCTTTTTTAAGCAGACAAACCGCGACGGGAGGAGGTGTAGCATGCAGAAATAGGTTTTGCAGGAGTAGGCCTGGCAGAAGGTCTATGCGGTGCACACGATGGTTGAAGTGACCGCGATGGAACAGGTGCGAGCAGTGTGTCAGATCCTGTAACATCCGGTTGCCTCTTTAGCTTTGCATGCAGTATGTAAAAAAATCGACATCCACCACATACAGCCAATGCTTTCTCCTCAGACCCCAATGGCTGCTCCACTTCAGTTAATTAAGCAGGCAATTTACAGAGTCAAACACGGCCAGTCCTAGGCTGCAGCAGATAGAATTGGTCAATGGCTACTGTAGTAAAGGCGAGACGTTTTCTCTAACTCGTTCACGCGGCGCATGCATGTGATTCTTATGTCTTTTTTTGATTGAAGAGAGAGCCGAAAGGTGAGGAGAGAGAGCATTTTTTATGAGCGAGGAATGGAAGGAGAGAGAGGCTGTGAGAGAGGAGAGAAAAGAACTGTTTTCCATGGATGGAGAGGCTGTGAACAGAGAGAGAAGAAAGGTAGCAGGCCGACATGTCATATCCAATGTCTATTCATCTTTCTTTCGGTAGGTGGTCAGGAGGAACCTAGAGTAGGCCCAGATTCATTCAGATATTGTGAACTCTCCCGTGTTTAACGGTGCAGTAGACCTGCTAATTGATTCCAACCCTACAGTGCATGGCACAGATCTCCAGACGCCATATTCTGCACGGACGGTACAGATAACAGGGTGTCTAGGCATGAATGATAACAGGGTGTCTTTGACTCTTTGTGATTATTTTGAATCATAAATAGGCATGAATGATTTGTAGCGCTTACAATAATGAAAATCATGCAGGCGATCAAAACTGTCCGGTACTTTCCCAGATATGAATCGGCAACGAAGGCTCCAACCAGAGGCGCGAGATAGCTAGTACCTAGCCAAGTTGCAACATGTCTTGCAGCATCCAAATTTGTTTCATGTAGGACTTTTGTGAGATAACTGACAAGGTTTTTTTCCAATGGGAGAATATGCAAGATAACAGCAGAGTGAACAGACTGCAACAAAGTAGTTTGCCTTTTGTTAGATCTTGTATTGAATACAGAAAGCGACCACAAAATTCTAGTGTCAAATTCAACTAGAGTTCCGTTCACTGTCTGAAGAGACAAATTATCTTCACAAATACTGTTGGGATCACACTGGATGTATAATATATGAAGGCTTGAGTGTGAAGTATTTTTTTAAAATGCATACAAGCATCTAACCATCACATTTCCATGGTCTTCCAACAGAAGGTTACTTATGCATGAGCATTGTGCTGTACTGACTGACCTATGATTAAGAAGGAGGCCTTCCAATTCCCTGTATGTTTCTGGAAGCAGGATGCCCACTGATGCAAACAGATCCATCACCTGTATATTCTGTTGTATTCTGCACTTCACAGTAAAGCAAAAGTAATCATAATGATAAATCTCGCCCATTGAATTTTTGAAGATGTAGCAATAGAGAAATGTGCATTAAAATAATATAATTAATGGTGCATTCACAGGTAAATTGGTATGAACAGAGGGAGAGCTGGTATCTGATAATTATAAAGGTACTATTATGGTTACAAACTGGGAGTAGTTTAATCTCAAAACAGATGTTCTTTGAAACCATGAGCCATCACCTGTCTATTTTCGATGCTGTCAGAAACTCAGAATAGACTGCATCCATGTAAGTATGGCTAATTAAGGAGAGTATACTTCCTTTATTTATATAGATTATACTACGTACTTCCTCCATCCTAAAATAAGTGCCTTAACTTTGTACTAGCTTTAGTACAAAGTTGTACTAAGCTTAAGATAGTTATTTTGGGATGGAGGGAGTATTAATTAAGAATATGCACATGGTTTGGAAAAAAAGGAATACCAAAAAAGGCTTTCGCCCCGCTTTATATATAAAGCAAACCACTAGAGCACAAGTTTGAAATTTAATACGGCATGCTTCATCAGGTAACTAAGCATGGAAACCGTTTGCTTAGACTTAATTAAGACACTGTTGCCGGAAGAGAGGGAGATAGGGAGCGAGGGAGAGGGAGAGAGCGAGAGAGAGAGAGAGAGAGAGAGAGAGAGAGAGAGAGGAAGGGAGGGAGGGAGAGAGAGCGTACAAACCTCTCGTGATGAGCCGTCTCCGTCTAGCAGAGGGCTGTTGTCAAACTGATCCGTGGAGTCCATGGCTCTGTTCTTCTTACAGGAAGATCGGAAAAAGGTTTGGGAGCTGCTGAACAGTTACAACTGTTTGGTTTCATTTGAGTTACAACTGTTACAGGAAGACACAAAACAAGAGAGGAAGCAAGAGGAAGAAGATAACATGAAACGGATGGAGCTGCAGGTCGCATGATGTCTCAATCTATGGCCCTACAATAATGCACAGAAATGATCGGTGCTCGTTCCAACTGCTTCGGACGTCGCATTCATCGAGTATATATAGACAAACATGCTGCAGGTCGGATTTATTTTTTCCGAACCGAGGAAGAAAAGCAGCGAGCGCCGTGCACTTCTTGGTAAGGACGGGGCAGGGGAAAGCATTATTGATTCTGTACACTTGGAGCCCAGGAGTGGGACGGCTCTCCGTGTCCATGGACACTCACGGCTAAGGGCGCGCATCCGCGTCCTCCGCTCCTCCACTATCTGTCTTGGCAAATTTTAACATGATCTCTCTTACCTCCTTTTTTACATGTGAGGTAAGAAGATAAGAGTCAATCAAGCCATTCATTGATGAGATCAACGGCTAAGATCTATGCAAACGCTAGCTAGCTAGGTTGATGCGTACTAGTACAAGATCAACCTTGCATGTATGTGACGTGCTGGACCTTTTGGTTGGACACACGCATTCTATTTAGCAATCCTAATTAATTAATAAATAGTATATCTCTCCGGACATGCATGCATCGACCAGGACATGGCCTGCAACGTGTCAAGCTCATTATATAAGCCAACAGACTAGCAAAAATATTTGATGGAAATATGCACTTACGGGTCTCCTTATTTGCACAATATCACTCGCATTTTTTAAATCATCTGAGCTTATCATATATGTCTAATTGATAAATCATGACAAAATATCATCAAACAAATGCCCCCCACCAAGTGGAGTGCACGCGCGGAGCAAGGCGGACTCGACTTGGTGAAATTTTGATATAGCGCAAATATCAATTGCGGAGCAAGGCGGACTCGACTTAGGGTTATTCTTGCCCAGGTATTAAGGGCAAGAGAACATTGATCAAGGATGCCGAAAATCCATGCCAATAGGAATGGATCACTGCGGCGAAAGTCCATGCCGAAAATAAATCATATAAGTGTAAATGTGTTTGTAGCGGAACCATGCCACACATAAAATGACGTGCATCGTGGCAGAACTATGCCACGGGTGACACGATGGCTGTAGCGGTGAAACCATACTACAAAAAGATGAACTGTAGTGAAACCATGCTACTAATGACTTAACGAGAAACTCGGGCGAAAGTCCTTGCCACAAGTTACCTAGAATATATGGATTGCGATGAAACCATGCCACAAACAGTTGATGGCCATCTGTAGCGAGTGTCCATGCCACAGAATGCATGCCATAAATTGAAAAGGTTGCCAGACAAGAGCTCATGCACCAAATAAGTGATATGAGGCTATGGAGGAAAGTCCATTCCACAGACTCAATATATTTAAGTTCTTTATTGCGACCATTTTGCTAATACGGTGTCAGCCAACAAAGAAACCTTAAACCTTCTTTAATTTGCAGCGAAAGTCCATGCCACTCCTCAAAGGGTGTTTATCAACTCTATTGCGACCATACTGCTTCGACGGTGCCAGCCAATAGAATTGAAGGGTTTCACAGATCCATATGTATCAAACTGGCATACTTCACTGCTCCCAAAGTTTTAAGTTGCAGCGTATGTCCATGCCACTCCTTAAACAATGTATCATCTTTACTGCGACCGTTCTGCTATGACGGTGTCAGCCAACAAGACAACTTCACTTCATCTTCATATGACAACGAAATACCATGCCATGACCTGAAGAAAATTTCTCAATCTAGTCGCGACCGCAGAGGCTGTGGTGCATGCCGACTAGATCGAAGGGTTTACAGATTCATGCTAGCCACACTGACGCATTGCACT